ATGATGAATATTGAGATACATTATTGTTATTCTGGTTTATATTATATATATACTTACATTTGATAAATAAACTAAAGAAAATTAAAATAAAATCATTATATAATTAATCTTCTTCTTCAACTTCCTAAAGTCAATCAGATATACTGAGGAAGAATATTCAAGAATAAATATCATTTTTCAAAAGCCCCGTAAAATTACACTTTATATCCTTATAAATGATTAATATAACAGATTAAATAAAGATTTTTTTTAAGGGAACTTTTATTAGTGTGTGTCTGTTGGTTGATATATTAAAATTGATTTAAAATGTTAATTTAATTCAGACGTTAATTTGATATTGAATATGGAGAGATAAAAAATAAATTATCAAACATTAAGTAAATTTTTAAATTATAACATCTTTATTAATTTGATAATGACTATAGATTAATATTAAGGAAAGGCGTAAATTAAATTGTAATACCAAGAAAATATTTGCAAAGATAATTTCTAGTTATTGTGTAACATTTATCAAGGATAATTGCAGTTAATTATTGCTATATATTTAATATCACTGTAAACTTAGCTGCAAATTATTAGATATTGTATTTATGAAGCTAAAATCATAGTGATAATACACATACCTTGAATGAATTAATGAGTATTTATCTTAGTTAATGGGTATTCCTGTGAGTGGTGTTCATATTCCTATTAAATTATCTGGTTTTGTAAATGTTCATCTTTTAACATAGATTTTAGACCAAACACTTGACAAATATTGAACATGTTAAAATGTATTGAAAATATGCAAAAAATTTTAAATATTAAATGGCATTTGAAATTTCAGAATCAAATACTTACATGATTTATTAGTGTGTTTCTTAAATCTTAGATTCAATTTATTAATACCATTACCATGATGATTGATCTCCAATAATAATTAGAATCATCATGATTTAAGCAAAATTTGAACTTTTAGAAACTGAATACCAAGGGCGAAAAGTAAGCAATTTCAGTATTTGCGAGAGAGATATTCTGCAAGATTCCTTTCGCAATAATGAAAATGTTAGCTAAGTACTTGCACAATTATCCCAATAGCAACCCTATGTGTAGCAGTTATCTTAAGGACTTTTGGTGTTTTTAGTTTTATTTATAACCATTATATGCCATCAGGAGTTAAAAACCAATAGCTGGTAATAAATTACAGTTGTAAAATCTCAAAACTACTTCTTAAGTTCTAACTTTAATTAGGTTTATTATTACCCTTGAAAATCCAATCGTAACAATATTATCAAAAAATTTTGTCAAACTTTCAAATTTGTTTGTACATTTATTCCAGACACAATAAATTGGACAGAAATGACTTCACATCATCCTTAGTTAAATACTATACATGTTTGTTCGAGCAAATCCCATAAACAATAATCTGTTAACCATCTGACTAAATTATAGCATTTATGCATGAGTATTAATATACTAATAACACTGATAAACTTATATCTAAAAAGGCTATAGTAAAAAGAGTTACTACTATCAAAATAATCTTAATTGTTTTTTATTTACAGTTTTCTTCCAATTCGTCCAATTAACTTAAATTAGTAGAATTTATAAATCAATTATAAATAAGAAATTTTATAAACTTTCTTTCATTTAAGAATAAATGATAGAATTTTTAATTAATGTCATATCAAATTAAGAAATTATTTTGATAATTCATACATGAACCTCTTTTTCCTTGAAAGCAGTCCAGCTTTTTTTGATGTGCAGATAGAATTACAATCGGAAAAATCTAAACCTGAAGATGTAGTAATGGCTGCACAATCAGTTAACAATTCTTTCGCAGCAACACAAAGTGAATTGATATAAAGATTAATAAGTGTAATTGTGAAAGGCAACGCTGATGCACTCCTAATTCTATTTCTCTTTAACTTCTCTTATTGTTTCATTAAATGGTAAATATGTTAAGAAATTCATATATTAATTAATTGTTTTTTCATTTCATTTGCTTTCATTTTCCTATTAAGCAAGTATATATGACAATTCAAATGTTTGCTAATAATATATCCTTATCTTTATGTTTCCGAGTCATCATAAAGAATGATATGACTTTTGATATTATTTTGAGATATAAGTTGAAGTATTTTTTAGTTTATTTAATAAATTAGCTAGAATAAAGTTACCATAAATTAATGCAATGCTTCAGTATAAATTTTTTTTATTTCAAAATATCTTAATAATACTTCAATTTCAAAATTGCTTAAATGCATTCCAATGGTTATTTCTAACCTTACTTTTTCTAGTCTTAATTTTATTTCAAGTATTTGCTAGTTATATGTAGAAATATCTAACATTTGCTGTTATTTATTGTAAACCCTATAGTCTAGCTTTAATTAATGAAATGGATTACTAAAAATTTGATCACAAATGTATTGAAAACGAATTCCAAAGCTAATTACCATGATTAGTTTTAAAATAAATACTCTACAAATTGAGAAATTTGCAATACTTTATCAAATTGTTTCGCAAGTAAGAATGGACTCATTAATGCCATCATTGGTTGTATTAGTCCTCCTAATTATTTTGTTAAATAAAAATCAATAATAATATATTTTAGTGCTCTTTAAAATACAATATTATGAATGATATAGTTTAGACATAATGTAATTTTAAAGTTTCAAGTGTTAATAAATGATTAATACATTTGAAAAGAGTTATTAAGAATAATATGATACTTGTGTATAATTTGTCTAATCCATAAAAATGCTCATCATAAAATGATTGTTTTGAATGCGTTTAAGAGTACATGTTGGTAACCAAAGAATAGTTGCAAAATCCCCTTAACTTATATTATGTAACGGGTTTTTGGATAATTTCTTAACTTGTGAAATGTTGCGATACTAATATAGAAAAATTGTGGTTGTTATGAATTTGAATTTGATTGCTGTTGGTATTTTAATAATTTTAAAATTTTATAGCTTGTTAGGAGCAATATAAAGATACAATAATAGTTAGAAAAAAGAAAAATTCGATGTAATTACATTGGATTTACTAGATTAGTATAATTTCATATTGCCTATAAAATTGCTAATTCTTTTGTCTTCAAGAGTATTTAGAACCTGTTTATGGTTCAAAGTAATGTTTAAATTGTAGAGAGGGTTTAATACCAGTATCAAATTATTGTAAAAATATATATGGAGCGATGTTATAATTGTCTCAGCTCCTTATATAATGATGATAGCACTTTAAACTGCATGTTTAAAAGCTAAAGTCCCACAAATCTATGGTAATTAAATAAAAAAATAAGTTATGTCACCATTTTGTTGCCATAGGTGTATTTAAACAAAAATTATGTATATGTGAATGTAGAGAATCCTACTTAAATGTAATTTTTCGAGAGAAAATGGATCATTATTATTGAGAATTGGATATGAACTAAGAGAAAATTATGTTGAAGGAGATGAGATTGTCAAACCTGATGAATAATTGGATGATGAAAATATTTAGTATTTGATGATAGATTTGATTAATTTTATTATGACTGAAAAGACATATGTGCAGTTTTTATCAAGGTAGGTGCTTGCAATGTCAATAAAATATAAATTGAAATAATAAAAATACATTTAAACAGATTAAGAAAATATTTGTAACTTTTCACTTAATAACTACTTTAAAATTAATTTATTATTGGCTTAATTATTTATGAAAAGTTAAATAGGTCAATTCAAAATTTATGTTTAAATTAATGAATAAATATCATATACAAATAAAGAGCGGAAACTGAATGAATATTCTACTCCTAATTTCCGTTAAAATATATAAGTATTTTAGACTATTGAACTTATATTGTTTTCCTTAAATACTGTTAGTTCATATAGGTCTAGACTTCGTATAAGTTTAATATTCCTCTTCATTTGAGTATTATTTCTTTGATTGAATGTGAGCAATATTTAAGAAAAAATGCACCACAAACACTAGCTAAATAAATTAGATTGTTACAGTTCTTTAGATAAATCAGGATGATTCACACAACTTTCACCATTTTCATAATAACACCTCAATTCAATATATTAATTTTTGCATTATTGCGATGATAATAATCAAAGGTCAACTCTCAAAATTAGTATTATTTTAATACTTACAAGTTATGACAGTCACTAGCTGAAAGCGTATTATTGTACGAAAAATAAAGAACCAATTATTAAATTTAGTGGAGTTATTATGAACCCATAACTACATTATTTCATGCATATATAGACAAGCAGCTTATAAAGGTAGAAGATCATTAATTTTTCTCCATTGAACTAGAGCACTATTAACAAAATATTATGAATGCAAGAACTTAATTTTAAAAATTTTTACTAGCAAGTGAACGTTAAATTTATCAGAACTTTTTTCGACATTTTCTAGANGTGGTTGTTATGAATTTGAATTTGATTGCTGTTGGTATTTTAATAATTTTAAAATTTTATAGCTTGTTAGGAGCAATATAAAGATACAATAATAGTTAGAAAAAAGAAAAATTCGATGTAATTACATTGGATTTACTAGATTAGTATAATTTCATATTGCCTATAAAATTGCTAATTCTTTTGTCTTCAAGAGTATTTAGAACCTGTTTATGGTTCAAAGTAATGTTTAAATTGTAGAGAGGGTTTAATACCAGTATCAAATTATTGTAAAAATATATATGGAGCGATGTTATAATTGTCTCAGCTCCTTATATAATGATGATAGCACTTTAAACTGCATGTTTAAAAGCTAAAGTCCCACAAATCTATGGTAATTAAATAAAAAAATAAGTTATGTCACCATTTTGTTGCCATAGGTGTATTTAAACAAAAATTATGTATATGTGAATGTAGAGAATCCTACTTAAATGTAATTTTTCGAGAGAAAATGGATCATTATTATTGAGAATTGGATATGAACTAAGAGAAAATTATGTTGAAGGAGATGAGATTGTCAAACCTGATGAATAATTAGATGATGAAAATATTTAGTATTTGATGATAGATTTGATTAATTTTATTATGACTGAAAAGACATATGTGCAGTTATTATCAAGGTAGGTGCTTGCAATGTCAATAAAATATAAATTGAAATAATAAAAATACATTTAAACAGATTAAGAAAATATTTGTAACTTTTCACTTAATAACTACTTTAAAATTAATTTATTATTGGCTTAATTATTTATGAAAAGTTAAATAGGTCAATTCAAAATTTATGTTTAAATTAATGAATAAATATCATATACAAATAAAGAGCGGAAACTGAATGAATTATATTAATTTTTTTTCTTTCAATTGAATGTCATTTCATCAGATGATTTAGCATTTCCAGAAATACTTTTTAACCATTCAAAAGCCTTTTAAAAGGTTTTCTTTTTAAATTCATCTATAATTTCTCCTAACTTTGCTTTAAACCTTTGCTAAAGATTCTTACTATTTAAAAGCACTAATGTTAATTAATATTCAACTCCTAATTTCCGTTAAAATACCGAAGTATTTTAGACTATTGAACTTATATTTTTTTCCTTAAATACTGTTAGTTCATACAGGTCTAGACTTCATATAAGTTTAGTATTCCTCTTCATTTGAGTATTATTTCTTTGATTGAATGTGAGCAATATCCTGCTAACAATAATTTTAGTCTGTATTTAAGAAAAAATGCACCACAAACACTAGCTATATAAATTAGATTGTTACTGTTCTTTAGATAAATCAGGATGATTCACACAACTTCCACCATTTTCATAATAACACCTCAATTCAATATATTAATTTTTGCATTATTGCGATGATAATAAGCAAAGGTCAACTCTCAAAATTAGTATTATTTTAAACTTACAAGTTATGACAGTCACTAGCTGAAAGCGTATTATTGTACGAAAAATAAAAAAACCAATTATTAAATTTAGTGGAGTTATTATGAACCCATAACTACATTATTTCATGCATATATAGACAAGCAGCTTATAAAGGTAGAAGATCATTAATTTTTCTCCATTGAACTAGAGCACTATTAACAAAATATTATGAATGCAAGAACTTAATTTTAAAAATTTTTACTAGCAAGTGAACGTTAAATTTGTCAGAACTTTTTTCGACAGTTTCTAGATAACCATAAAGATTAATTCCAAAATGTTGAAAAAAACCACATGCTGAATTTTAAATAGAAGTACTACAAAAATCAAGAAACACAGTACTTTCAAAACTTTTATCGCAGGTAGAAGTAAGAAATTAGTAATATGGTAAAATGATTCTCGGCCGATATGTAGTGGAAGCTGTAAACTTTAAGCATAAGCATGGTAATTTACAGTTAGAATATGATTTCATTTATATAGTAGACAGAACTACAGAATATTAAATATGTAGCTAATATTTCCATCAAAGTAATATCCAACCAAGCATGAATAACCTTTATCTGTATTATTATAAAATTTAACTCGTTAGACCCAGAGGGCTGAAAATATACTTTTAGGTTTATAAAAGCCAAAAATTTAATATTCCTTTAATATTAAATCATTGAATATTTGAGAGTTACCTTTTTAAACCTCACTATATTAAATTTTTGAGGATAAATGGAAATCTTAGGATTGGTTAATGAAAGGGGCTTAGAATTTCTCACTCCTTCACTTCTAGAAGGAAGTCGATGTGATCTGTTATTAAAGATTTTGATATGCATGACCTTATGTATGCAATTATAGGGGAAGAAAAGAACTTAGATTAGTTCATGAGTTCGATATTGAGCTGGCTATTTTTAATTTTATATAGAATATTAACGAATTAGATGGATTTTGGAATCATTATCATAAACCAGCCAAAGTAAAAGCTAAGATCAATTTTTCATGATTGAGAATTCTCAATGATAGTAGATGAAAATATGAATTAGAAATACACTTAATGGAATAATGATGGAAACATTGATAACCAGGGTTCATTGCTAAACAATTGAAAAGCCTTTATTTAGCAGAAAAAAATATATATTGAGAACATTAGTTAATTGATACTTAGCACCAAAGCAGTATAAAACTCAAGATAGGTAAATTTGTGCTAAATAAATAGCAGCCTCATTTTATCGAAAATGAATTTTTCTGGATCAAATAAATCCATTTATCCAAAATTGATAAACTCCTTTCAACTTAAATTGCTTTTCTGTAAATTTTGTCAGGTCTTTGACAACACTCCTCGATTCTCAGCTTTTATTTATTTTCGTTTAATTTCCTCATTAATCTCTTTTAAGCCACATCCTATAGATTATCATTTAATAACAGATAAAAGAGAAGGTATTGGATGAATATTAAAATACTACTTTCAAAGCACTTGGGTCGATTTTTAGTATGTAAACTTAATTAAATAATTGTCATAGGTGGAGTTTATTTCTTCTGTATATTTCAAGCTCTTTTTATGGTCATAATGGATTTAAAAAATTTATAGAGATATAATTCTCAATTGAATCTCTATTAAGTTTAATTATGTGTTGTCGAGTATAAAAAATTCCATTTTAGTATATCAATACGGTTATTTTCTGAATTTTGCTTTTGTCATGTAAAAAATAAATGTCTTCGAAGTGTGCTGACAAAGTAATTGAATTCTTTGGCTTTTTTGACTAAGAAAATTAAGGCTAAAGAATCAATCGTTTTGTATTGATTTTGTAAGATTATGTCAAACATGATTAATATATATGTTATCATTTTTCCTGACCTTGTTTATTGATTATCTAAAGTCTAATTCTTATAAAATGATCACCCTGATTAAATGAATTATTCAACTTGCTCTTTGTTGAGCCTTAAGTATCTTGGTGCTGGTCTTTTATATAATTAGAGTAGGCTCAAGTTCCTGCATCATTTTTGAAGAAGTCTGATTGGAACATCCTAAAATTATAAGGTATCTATGTAAAGAAGTTTTATTTTTACATCAAACTCATTCTATTATTTTTATCAATGAAATCATATTTTAGATATCTAATTTAGAAGTGGATTAATACTATCATTTGCCATGATAAAGTTTATTTTTTCATTATATTCATGATATTTGCAGTTAAAAAGGTTGGGTACTTTCGAAACTTAGAGGCAAACCCTTGTCTACCCTGTTTAGGCCCTGTCATCAGTTGATTACATATCAATAAATTCTAAATGATTTAATCAGTTTCCTTAAAAATCTCATCAGCGATATAATTCTCTCCTTCTGTTTTTACCTTTATTATGTCTTATACATATATTTGGCTAATTTTACTTATGGAGCACAATCTGATATTATTCCTCCTGCTTACAAATTGTAATGCTATTCTCCAATTAAAAAACTTAAAAGATCTGAAAAACCTTATTAAGTTTTTTAAATATTCAAACAAGATTCCAGTTTCATCATTAAGGATAAATTTACATTAGGGAAGGCCTATCTTTTATATTTTCTATTTAAGAGGCAGTAATAAATTGTTTCGTTTCTTCAAAACTCACACACTTTTAAGGCTCCTTAGAGTGGATAACTTAAAATTAATATACTAATTTTTTTAGTAAAATTAATATATATTAAATTTGATTTTAATGATATAAATTAAACCAGTAAATTGATAAAGCATAAGTTATTAAGTCTTGCAAAAACTATTTCTTTAGTAAAAAGTATTATTTAACAGATTTGCATCAATATCTATGTCATTTTTTAAGTTGGATCAACAGAAGTTCATTGATTTATGGCTTAATGAGAGTATTTAAATAAGATAAAATTTATTGTTCATTCCAAGTATATTTACTTCTCGAAATGAATAATTAATTTACTTGTTTAAAGCATATCATTATTACTAAGAATAAGTATTGGCTCAATGAATTCTTAAATGAAGCATTTAATGCATCTTGATCATCTTGAAGATAAAACGCTGCTATTTTTCGTTAATTATTAGCAGCCATACTAAATCTCATCAGAAACTTTTTACTTGATCAACTAATTTATCAAAATACTATTCTTACATCCAAATATGAATGCAGATATTTTTCTGGAATATACGTTTAAATCATCATATAAAAGAAACCAATTTATTAAGTTTTACGTATTCTTATTAAAAATATTTGTCTATGATTGTATTAATACCAATCACACTCATATTTCGAATCAACATAGTTATTAAAATAACTTTTAAAATTTCAAGATTAGTAGGTTTAACTATATATATATATATGCTAATATTTGAGATTGAAACTTGGAACTCAAAAATTTTCTAATTATTATAAAGATTCTGATATTATGTAACCAAGTAAACCATAAACAATGATTTTATTGTTCCATAAGAACTAGGTTTTCTAATATCACTCGGAAGAGTTTTAGTAAGTTGTGTTTATAAGTGATCTCATCTGTACTAATAATAAAATTACATATATATACCAGATGCGAACATTAAAAGCGGAAGTTACCTAAAATGAACCATCTTCTTCTAAATCTTTATCATAGCTGTTATTACAATAATATGTTAAGTTGTGTTTCGCCCTCTAGGTAGAGAACCAAACTCTCGATTTGTTCATAGCTGCCAAATAAAAGTCTAACTTATTTTTTGAAGAATAAAGGAGGAGTTAATAAGAAAATGTCAATTGATTAAGAAACAAATATTGACTTATGATAATCCAAAAGAGATTTTATAAGCTATTTTGGAAAAATAATTTAGGTTTTGACAAAAGGATGAAAAGATACTATACCAAACATCTTAAATGCTATGATTGTCTTCAGATAGAGCTACTTGCACTGATNTCATGATATTTGCAGTTAAAAAGGTTGGGTACTTTCGAAACTTAGAGGCAATACCCTTGTCTACCCTGTTTAGGCCCTGTCATCAGTTGATTACATATCAATAAATTCTAAATGATTTAATCAGTTTCCTTAAAAAATCTCATCAGCGATATAATTCTCTCCTTCTGTTTTTACCTTTATTATGTCTTATACATATATTTGGCTAATTTTACTTATGGAGCACAATCTGATATTATTCCTCCTGCTTACAAATTGTAATGCTATTCTCCAATTAAAAAACTTAAAAGATCTGAAAAACCTTATTAAGTTTTTTAAATATTCAAACAAGATTCCAGTTTCATCATTAAGGATAAATTTACATTAGGGAAGGCCTATCTTTTATATTTTCTATTTAAGAGGCAGTAATAAATTGTTTCGTTTCTTCAAAACTCACACACTTTTAAGGCTCCTTAGAGTGGATAACTTAAAATTAATATACTAATTTTTTTAGTAAAATTAATATATATTAAATTTGAGTTGATATAAAAAAAAATGATATAAATTAAACCGGTAAATTGATAAAGCATAAGTTATTAAGTCTTGCAAAAACTATTTCTTTAGTAAAAAGTATTATTTAACAGATTTGCATCAATATCTATGTCATTTTTTAAGTTGGATCAACAGAAGTTCATTGATTTATGGCTTAATGAGAGTATTTAAATAAGATAAAATTTATTGTTCATTCCAAGTATATTTACTTCTCGAAATGAATAATTAATTTACTTGTTTAAAGCATATCATTATTACTAAGAATAAGTATTGGCTCAATGAATTCTTAAATGAAGCATTTAATGCATCTTGATCATCTTGAAGATAAAACGCTGCTATTTTTCGTTAATTATTAGCAGCCATACTAAATCTCATCAGAAACTTTTTACTTGATCAACTAATTTATCAAAATACTATTCTTACATCCAAATATGAATGCAGATATTTTTCTGGAATATACGTTTAAATCATCATATAAAAGAAACCAATTTATTAAGTTTTACGTATTCTTATTAAAAATATTTGTCTATGATTGTATTAATACCAATCACACTCATATTTCGAATCAACATAGTTATTAAAATAACTTTTAAAATTTCAAGATTAGTAGGTTTAACTATATATATATATATGCTAATATTTGAGATTGAAACTTGGAACTCAAAAATTTTCTAATTATTATAAAGATTCTGATATTATGTAACCAAGTAAACCATAAACAATGATTTTATTGTTCCATAAGAATTAGGTTTTCTAATATCACTCGGAAGAGTTTTAGTAAGTTGTGTTTATAAGTGATCTCAGATATCTGTACTAATAATAAAATTACATATATATATACCAGATGCGAACATTAAAAGCGAAAGTTACCTAAAATGAACCATCTTCTTCTAAATCTTTATCATAGCTGTTATTACACTGCCAAATAAAAGTCTAACTTATTTTTTGAAGAATAAAGGAGGAGTTAATAAGAAAATGTCAATTGATTAAGAAACAAATATTGACTTATGATAATCCAAAAGAGATTTTATAAGCTATTTTGGAAAAATAATTTAGGTTTTGACAAAAGGATGAAAAGATACTATACCAAACATCTTAAATGCTATGATTGTCTTCAGATAGAGCTACTTGCACTGAAAGGGTAAGGCAAATCTTTTTTCAGCCTGAAACGGAGAAGTTTCTATCTGGGACCCTATGATCCTTTTTTGTTTTAGAAGATTTATGGTAGCATATAGAAAAGTTTGAAAGATTTATTTTGAGTGTGCAAGTTTTTGAATTAAAATCCTTCTTGTAACATTGAATAAGTTAAATGCAATTTGAATGAATCTAATTTGATTATAAATAGAAGATTATATAAAATAATTTAAATGATCATGCTAGAATGGTTTATTATATTTACCCAAAATATTACTATTTTTCTAATTTACAAGAGCTAATATTTAAATCATAAAATGTTCTAATCTTGAAAGGAGAATTCCTTAGTCAATCACTACAGACTCAAACTAAGGACACTATATCAATAAATGGAAGGTACACTTTAGAAATCTAAAATGGGCCTTTAATTTGATTTTTCATATGGTATTGAAATGAAAATTTCCATTGCATTCACTACTTTTGATAATCAACATAAGGTCCTTTCTTTCTTCAAAAAGCAATATTTGATTGATATAAGCTATAAGGAGATATAAGAAAGAAACAATACCAATAATTATAAATTTCAATAAAGGTTATGCTTTTTTTCGTTAGGATCCGATTTGAGCATTTTATTATCATCTTAGTTAAATATTCAACAATATTTTTTTGTATAAAATAATAAATCATTCAAAATTCTTCACCTTTAGTTATAGAGCAAAGGAACATCACAGCCAT